TCATGAAATCTTAGCTTGGAGATCTGTAAAAACTTAAAACAGTTTTAAGCGTATTGCTAAAGCGGCAGAACTTTTCATACACGAGCTCTGCAGCCGTACAGCTTAGGAATCGAAGGGGCTGGCATAGCTGTACCCAGCATCTGTAGCCATTCCCGTAGCATCATTAAAATGGGATACCCACACGGATTACTCGAGTGATTTTGTTCTTTCTAGTAAATGTCACAGCAATTTTTTTCCTGACAGCCTTGTTTTTAAATTGCTAATAATATTTAAATTGTTAATAACATAGCGTAAAAAATTTGTTAGCAGAATCTAACAGTTGAAAATTCAAAATACATGAAAAACATATAAGTGGCATTACAGGCTATAAGAAATACATTTTGCGTTATTGGTCAGCTGATCATTTTTGACATCACGCTAAATGTATTTTGTGCCTCAAGTGTTCAGCTGCTTTTTTTTGGTGATCTTATCCAATATTTCAGACGGGAGTGGAGCAATTGGTATCGATGAGCTAGAAAGTGCGATGCGTAATTTGGGTTTGGAACCTCAAAAGAATGAACTTGAACAAATTATTGAGGAAGTAGATCAGGTATTTTTTCATTTTTACCCCAGATAATCGATGTGTTATTGAGTATAGCGGTTTAGCTTAAGCGTAGTGCAAAAATTACAGCTTGGAGAATTTTTGAATTGCACTGAAACGATTTCAATGCAAACGGTTCGTTTCAGATGGGAAATCACGAAATTGACTTTCATGAATTCTGTGATGTGATGAAGCGTATGAACGATAAAAAGAATAGCTGGAATGATGTGGTGCGGGAATGTTTTGCTGTTTTCGACAGGGTAATGCCATAATCATTTTGAGTGACCAGTTACTAGCTGAGTAGCGATTATGTGTTAGGTATTTGGTGGAGTACCCTCTCTTACTTCTAACGCTTAAAAAAACAGACCCTGGAAAATGAAAACCATGAAAGTAGGTTTTTTTTTTAATTCAGAACCTGTGATGAAAACTAAAAATAACCGGATTGCTGGAGATTTCATGATAGAGATGTTACTGGGATGTTTCCGCACGTCAAACGCGACTATGCCAAGCCCTTCGATCTTGGACTGCACACCCACAGCTAGCACCCTCCTGTCCTGTTCGACGCATATCTCCAGCCTGCTTATTTTGAAATTGTGGTTATAATTGACCCGAAGTACAAACTAGAAAGACTGAAAGTGAATTTGTAGTTTGCGATCATACCCGAACTATGCCTCTGATGCGTTTTTACATGTTTGCAAACGCAAAAACTCATGTTGTGACGACTCACAGTGTACGTGTGTGTGTCTGTGTTTGTGTCTACCCGGGTATTTTAACTCAGCAACCAAGCAAGCATCGGCGCTGAAATTTTGCCAGTAGTTTCCCCGGCCAAGTGCCACCTCAGGACCGCTGTACTAACCTTTCACACACGTTTGAGCCCTGCGTACGAACAATTAAAAGTTTTGGTAGGAAAACTGTTAGCTCGCGGACCAGAAAAGCTGGAAAGCTGAAATTTTTTTTTGACGGAATGTTCCCCAAAAAACGCATAATCACACCAGCAAGGCTGGTGCATTCCATTTTAGGGTTTATAACTCATTTTCGTGACTATTCTGCCCAAGCAATCGGTACGAAGATTCAGTGTAAATGACATACATGAAATACGCTCACTCCTGATGATGCTGTGCCAGGCTTTATCCACAGGCAGCAGCTTAAAGCTGTAGCTTTTGGCTTTTGCAATTCCTGAAAATTCATGCACTTTCTCTGCAGCACTTCTTAATTTCTGCAGCAAACAAATTTGCAGGGTGAGGTCGGATCCGTGTCTAAGAAAGATTTCCAATATATCCTTGGTGAGCTAGGTGATATTCGTGATAAAGCAATTGTGGATGAGATTTTCGCAGAAGCAGATGTGGATGGCGATGGTGTACTGGATTACGATGAATTTACATTCATGGTGCGAAATTACATGTTGGACGAAGATCTTGCTACCTGCAAATGTCCGTGAAAAGTGATCAGTTTAAGCCTCATGATGAGTCACTTCAGAAAAACCGGATTTTTTTTTGAAACATATCAGTCTATTTTTGTTAGACCTTTATTCACGATTCGACGATTAGTCAAATTTTTCAACGATGGTCAAATTTGATTTTCCCAGTAAATTTGGGGAACTTTTCAGAATTCCTAGGGCAAATATTCCCTTGCAAGTTTTGCGCATTTGTAACCTTTTTCTGTGCTGTATAAACGTTACACCTCTGCTCTTTAAGTTACTTTTTCCAAAAAGCTTAGCTTAAATTAAAGATGAGCACTGGCTTCAATGATGGATTAAAAAATAGCATCAAGTCAAATGCCACGCACAGCTTCTTGGAGTTCAATTCGAATTTCAGTTTAAAGGCAAGCTCTCCTTCTTGCTCAGCTCAACTCTAGCCACGCCATTCGGTTATTGATAATCATGGGCAGATTAGAAGTTAAGACTTAAAATTAATTTCAAGTTACAACGTTCCCTCAGTTACGGTTCTGTGCTCTTTTCAGTTTAATGATAGTACGAGACCGAAATAGGTCAAAAATTATCGTTTTTTTACCGCTTTTGGAAGTAGGAAATTATAATTGTAGTAGCATAACAAAGAGGAAAATATTGAAAGTGAATCAAGTCCACGTTCTCTTTTCATTCAATTTAAATTTGCGACGATACGGTCTGGATCAGCTTGCTACTTCTGTGCTAAATTATGCCGAATGACCCCATTCGCCTGGAAAGCATATTTTCATCCGATTTTTGCCGCAACCAGCATTACAATTTCACTGAACACTTCCACTTTCGCGAATCGAGCATGCCTCCCGGTTTCATACTACTTCCACTTGCATATTACAAAGCTGCACTTACCAATCATTTACATATCATTGTTTTTTTTTTCTTCGTGTTTTTTTTTTCTCTATGTCCGTAGGACAGTACTTAAAATGCCGGGGAAGATTTATTTTTCTGGACTC